TTTTTATTTTTTTTTTAAGAAAAAAAAGTTTATAAAAAAAAAAAAGTTTAAATATAAAAAAATGATTAGGGCTATAAAAGCTTTTTTTTTAAAAAGAGGATAAGGTAAATAAATACTAACCGAACTGAATTAAAATAGTATATAATCGACATGAATTTTTTTGTAGCTTTTCAAGCTTCAGGATTTACATAGATGCGTGATTGAATTTTCTTGATAGTACCCAACAGAAGATTGATATCTGTATAATAAATAACATTTTTTACTTTTTTTTCTTCTTCTTTTAATAATAGAATCGCGCCACATGTACACAAAGAAAACTCACAAATGTAGCACTCACACATATGGGGCCACACATAAATTTTTTTTAGAGTAATGCTATTTATCACCATTAGGGATGGAAACACAGTCTACGTGGCGTTAATGTAGCATTAAATGATAGGTGAAATTAAATAAGTCATTTAATTTCATCTTTCTTTTAACCTATCATTTAAAGCCACCTAAATTGTGTTTCCATCCACATTGGGGATGAATAACATTACTCTTTTTTTTAATACACAATGTGGTCTACCCATGTGAGTGACCTGATGAGTCCCTGTGAATTAATCCCCTATGTATGGGATTAATTGTTAATAATATCGTCTCACTCTTCAATTATTAGTATCATTGAATAAGAGTAAGATGATAGAGTTGCGCATTCAAATAGACATCAATTAGCCGGAGACTTGATGCGGTAGTCACAATCACTTTTATAAATTGCCCAAGTAAATGGTCCCAAAGAGGATTTGAAAAAGCAAAAGGAGACAAGTATTTCTACCCAACATTGAAGTTTCCAGACAAACTTGTTTAACGCAAAACTAGAGGATCGATTTTTTAGTAAATCATTATGAAATTTGTGTACGTGACATTGAATTTGCAAGGGAACTTACAAAATTTTGGCGCCATTAACATGGGATGCAAGAACGGTTACGCCATCTTCTCCAACCTTGAGCAAACCCTGTGCCATACTTGACAACATGAACAAACGTCTTGAGAAGTATATGTCATAATGAACCCTTTCACGTGATGCAAATTATGCAATGTCTAACAACCTCATCAAAAAGCTAAAATTATTAAGAAAGGTACACAATTTTCCTAAGCTAGTGTTTGATAGGCATTAAATTCCATGGAAAATGGAATTCATGGAATTCAAATTCCATTTTCCACTTTTGGTAGTGTTTGATGGACAACATTTTGCCACCCAAATGATTTCCTCCTTTGAACCCACGAGCCTGATTTTCCACCCAAATGATGAAAGTGTTTTCCCACATTTGGTGGGAAAACTGAATTCCAGATTCTGGATTTTTTTTTTTTGGTAATGAAAACAAATTTAATAACCAATTGCAAATTTTTTTCACTTTAATAGACAATTTTTATGTAAAACAAAACCAAACGAATACTAAACTTTAATGAAAAAATGATTTTTTTAGGAATTTTTTTTTCTTTTTTCTTTTTTTAATTTTTGGTAATGGAAACAAATTTTATAATCAATTATGGAAAAAAATATCACTTTAATGGACAATTTTCATAAAAAAATAAAACCAAACGTACACAATTTAAAAATTTTTCGGGTGAAAAATTATATCAATCAAATACACTTAATTAACAGTTCCCTACAAAACATTTTCTAGGCAATTATTTTCCTTGAAATTCATTTTTTTTCTACTAATTTTCCACACTTGCAATCAAACGTACCCTAAAGGGATAGAAACAATACTTAAACTGCTTTCACTTGTGTCTAACCACCTCATAAAAAAAGCTAAAATTGTTGAAAAAGGTGCACGTTTTTCATAAATGATTAGAGGCCAGACATGAACTGTTTTCA